CAACAAGAAGAGAGGTAGCAGACAAGCAGGGAGTTCGACAATGGTTATACGTGCGGCTAGCCATGCAGCAGCGCGGTCGGGTTGTGGAGACTGCCCCCGGTATCGCTACCCTTCAGCCCCGTCCCGTGCACTTTTGAGAGGAGTAAGTAGCCCGCTACTGCACCTGCAGACCCTTCACCTCGCACATGGTCAGGATTCACAGAGGGGAGTGTATAGTTTGTCTCAGGAGACTACTTGGTTACAACAATGACCAATCGCAAAGGCATTTGGTTTGCACTTACCCGGTTCGCTAAATGCTTCTTGAACTTTTGAAGCAACCAGTTGTGGAGCAGGAGTTATAGAAGCATAGTCAGTCGATTCCATGTTCCGTTCACGATTGTCACGAGTTCGCAGCTTTTCTCGTGAACCGTCACGAGGTTCGTCACGATCCCTGAATTAAGAAATTTTTTTCTTGAAAATCGGAGGGCAAGCTTAAAGATCAAAGGTCCTGATCAGAAGCCACAGCAGAGCGCTGTATTACATCTGAAAGTTAAATCACCTACTGCGACATCTGCGCTTATATGAGGTATTCCAAGTTCTGACCTACTAAGGCTGCCGTAGACACGAGCAAATTAGCAGGCTGCTTTCCGTCATACCCCTACATAGCCAGTAACAACATTAGTGGACGTTAGTGCATTTTTGGGGAAAAGAGGACGGGAGTGGGAAAGCATGCGGCGAGACTAAGCCATGCCCATTCTAATCCTCGCGCTCTCTGAACACAAACTGCGCACTCACCTCCGAGGACCCAGGTCCTTGCCATGCGTGGGGTGAATGAGTCCGCAACTGCAACGGCGTGCCACTTTTTCCGGTCAAAAAAGCACAGGGACAAGGCTGGAGGATAATGATCCCTAGATACCGTTATAAGAGTCCTTCCGTACTGCCTCACGGCCAGTCAGCCACACACTTAGCCAAACGTGCTACTTGCCTGTGCCCCCTTACTTTTGGTTGGGCTCTTCCTCCAACTGCGGGTTCACTGCGGAAATGGTATTGCAGATAGATGTCAGCTTATTTCGGTATTGACGCAAGTGTTGCACCTTGAGGATAGCGCAGGCGAAGTATGACGACGACACTTGGGTATCACTGTCCAGCCACGTTCTCATGCACTTCTGAGTGGAGGGAGTGGCAGGTTACTGCAGGTGCAGACCCTCTCGCCTCGCACATGGCAAGGATCGTCTCCGAAGGCGAGTGTACAATTTGTCTCTGAAGCTGAGCCTTCGCGAAGGAAGGGACAACTATCTTGGAGCAACAACGCATACGAGCACGTCTAGTCGTTGTGTGGTACGGAGCAGGTTGCCTGCCTCTCCTCCGCCCAGTAGACTAACAGGCATTTGTGCTCAGTTTGTTATATGGCTTTATAGCCCATTCCTTAGTTGAAACCCAGTACTTAGAATCGGAAAACGTCATTCCGATTCACCCCCAGTGATGAAGATTGGAATATCTAACTTAGGCGTGGGAAAGCGGACACGACCAAAGACACCGCAGGCCAGTCTCGCTCAGTAATACGCCGCTGCTTGATCCCATAAATTACATTTGCACCCTTTTTGAAAGGAGGTGAATGATACAGAACGAATATACATGAATAGTCATCCTCAATTCAGTAAGCACTTAATTATGGTGGTAATACTCCGAAGCTATTGTCATTAGCGCCTAAAAAAAGCTTATGCAACGCCACAGAAAAACCTAACATCGATTTAGTCTTACCTGTGATTTTCAGCGCTCATTCTTCCACTAGGCACCATACGAGAATAGCCAGGTGTTGATCCACTTATGCTACCATGTCGTTTGGCAATCCTTGACTCGGTTTCTGCAATAAATACTGGTTGACAGAGTTCCTCTAAAGTACCCTGTTGCTTGGGCTCACTCTTGATGACAGATCTCGCAATTGCTTGTCGTGAGTAGTAGGATCCAAACATTAATTTTAAGGTGCTGTTAAAGGTACTACTACTAGTGAACGAAAAACAGGAGAGCGCCCAAATACAGAACGGCTGTGCACAGCTTAGAAAGAACATGCAACCAAGAGAGACGCAGAGACACGCAGCGCGCGAAGAAGAGCCACGCAGCCGAACATCTGATAGCGAGAAAATTGATAGCAACGTCGCGCTCTAGCTGCACGTTTCTGGGTGTTTACACCTGGCATGCAGGGCTTCTGCGACAGGCCATCGCAAGCCCCTAACGCCCTTGGCACGCACTTCCAAGTGAAGAGAGTAGCACACCCCAGGCAGTTGTGAAGCTGCGCTTTTCATATATGGAAAGGATTTGGACAGGTAATCGCCGACTTTGTCCTGAAAGACAGAACCCACGATTAAGCAACGCGCAGACGCCCTTCCTTGGCCGAGATGGCGCGCTCCGCAACCGCAGAACATGTCCCGTTTTCCGTGACCCAAAGCTTTAGTAATAACGCCACGACTCTGCGACGATAAGCAGTCTCCGCCTCCTCGCAATCGCGCTCCTGTGTCTCTTCACCTTATGCTCAAATAACGCTTCTAACCGATCTTGTCTGATGAGTATTCACCTGTGTCTCTTGCTTTTTTTTCTTCACACTTGAGTTACTTGGCACCTTCACATTCGAATTTGGACCCCACTGTCCACAAATGGCAGTGGCGGGGATAGCTACCTTACACTAACCCACAACCTCCTCGACTCTTGAGCACACTAACCTATCGGTGGGCGTCCAACCCGTTCTCCACGATCCACTCCTACCGAATGTGCTCGTTCAACAATATGATTTGACGTCACATGAGGTACGGTGGCTGGAGACGGTAATCGCCTCAACAACGCTGCTTGCTCGGATAAGCGAACAATCTAGATCATAGAATTATTGGACTCAATACACGATAAAATAAATACCTTACTAACCTCATCCTTTAAACACGTGTTTTCAACCCTCATATGCTCCATAGAATTCTGCAGATTTGTGAGTATCCTTAAAGAAATTGTTTTACATGCCGTATTATATCCTAGGGCAGCAAATGAGTTGGTCTGGGATATAAGGCGCTCGCTTAGGTTGAATTAGTTTCCGGCATGGTTGTGTCAGTTTTCGGATGTCAGCTCTAAAAGCTATGCTGCAGCGTGCACTCTCTACTCATGGCGCAGAAAACCTTCATCCATGGTGGTTAGACATCCAGGGTGAGTTTACTTACTCCATTCGACAGGACAGTTGAATTATTGCCTTATGTCCTATCAAAAGCAATACCTGCCCCTAGGACATTGCTGACCTTTCGACCACCCCTCTTGCCCTGGCCTCCGTATTTTATCCATGAATCGTACTCTGAGGTGAGGTGGTTATGACCTGTTTGGAATCCCTTCCATTGAACTGCACTGCAGTTGAACTGCAACGCGTGCCCTGTTTTTTCTTTCCGGTTAAGGGCCCTACACCACCCTCCAACATATCACATGGGTGCACTTTGGCATTTTGCACTTTCGCTACTTCCCATCGACGTGTCGACCTATCTAGGCAGCCTCTTCTCGAGTTGACAGGTTTTACCATGATGGCTAGATGAGCTTGCTCCAGCTTCACAAGAGTTCACAGGTTTCGCCAGAGTGAGACTTGTAAACCGGAACTAGGGAAGCAATGATAGTACAAAATGCCCCCCGTCGTCAAACTGCGCCTATCACACGCGTTCGAAGAGATGCTGAATACGTGTGCTATGTAGTATAGTATAGTTCGCTGCG